AATGTGATCTTTAAACTTGATATCAAAAAAGCTTATGACACCATGCATTGGGGTTTCATTGAGGAGGGGCTCACTGCTAGAGGATTTTCACCTCAATTCATATCTCTTATCATTAAATGGCTGTCTAATAACTATCATTCTATCTTTACTAATGGCATGTCCCATGGCTTCTTCAATGCTTCAAGAGGTATCAAACAACAGGATCCTTTGTCTCCCACTATTTTTATTCTAGCATTTGATTATTTATCTAGGCTGCTTAATCAACAGACTTTCAATTCTCCTCATACTTTGTATAGTCACAAATCTAACATAATTATCAATCACTTGGCCTTTGCTGATGATGCTATTTTATTTTCTAAAGCCACTAAGCCTGCTGTTAAGATGATTCTTCAATGCTTAGAGAATTTTCATTCCTATTCAGGCATGCATTTTAATTCCCAGAAATGTATGGTTGTTTTCAGCAAAAGAGTTAAACTTGATATTAAACACTGGATAACTGAGCTTACTGGTTTTTGCAATAATTCCCTTTCTCTGAAGTATTTGGGGGCTTATCTTATAAAAGGGAGGACTAAACAAATTCAATTTGATTACATTGTAGAAAAGATTCAGGATAAACTTTAGTGCTGGATGAATTCGTTTCTATCATTTAGGGGCAGAGTTACACTCTTGAGAAGTATTTTGGCTACCCTCTCATCATATTTATCTCAGATGGAAGTGATGAAAAAATCAACTCAGGTTACTTTTGAGAGGATCTTCAATAGATTTTTTTGGGTTGGTCAAAGGAAACAAGTTCACTGGGTCCATTGACAAAAAGTTTGTAAAGCCACTAGAGCAGGTGGTTTGGGTTTTAAAAGCTTCCAACAATTCAAACAAACCAACTTTTGTAAGCTTTGGATTAAATTTCAAGAACAATCATCATTATGGACCAAATACATGATGGGCAAATATTGTAAAGATCATCATCCTGCTATGATGTCAAGGAAAATAAGGGATTCGAGAATATGGACTAATATGCTGAAAGTCAGGTCTGTGGCAGAAAATCTTTTCATCTGGGAGTTGGGAGAAGGAAAAATTAGCTTCTGGTTGGACAACTGGACTTTGGAAAGCAAGCTGGCTCATAACTCTCCATTAAATGTTGATGAGTCCTTGCTGGTGGCTAATCTCTGGGTTGAGTTCTTTAGAACATTTTAGATTCATCTCAGATCACTAGTATTATGAAGATCCCAGTTGTTCCATTAAAGAAGGATAGGATTGTGGTTAAGAAGAGAAAGTCCCAAACTCTGTCAGCATTTAAAGCTAATACTTGTTTTCCTCAACAGGAAGTCAACTGGGGATCCAGAGTTTGGACTAAATTTCTTTCACCCTCCATGTCCTTTTTCTGTTGGAGATTATTTCATAAGCTAATCCCCACTGATGATATCTTGAAACTGAAAGGATTGAGGGGTCCTTCATGTTGTGTGTTATGCAGGAATGATGAGGAGTCTCTACAACATATCTTTTTTAACTGTACTTTGGTTCAAAAGGTCTGGAGGTGCATTTTAACCAGGTTGAGGATCTCTACTTTACTGCTGACTTGGGATAATTTTTTTCTGTGCTAGAAAGAATGGCTGGATTCTCAGGTATTTACAGTGCCTTGTATTGTTGCTTGGTTTGTGTGGATGGCTAGAAACAATACCAAATTTGAGGATTCAAGGCAGGATGCTAATGGGATTGCTAACAATTGCTTAGTGTATATTCAGAAGCTCTCTAAGTACAAAAAATTTCTTGATATTCTTGTTCAACAAGTTCATCATACTTCTAAGCCTCCTAATTTCTTCCTGATATTATGGCTGTCCCCCTCTACAGGTTGGATTAAAGTGAATACTAATGGTAGCTTCTTGGCTCCCCTTGCTGGTATGGGGGGTGGGGGGGTGTCTTCAGAGATAGTTATGGTAAGTGCTTGCTTTTTTTCTACTCTCCTGCATGGGCAAAAGATTCTTTGGAGGCGGAAACTCAGGCTGTTTTTTGGCCATCTCTTTTGCTAGGAGGTGTGGCATTGGGGAGCTCTAGGTTGAATCAGATTCCCTTATCTTAATCAATATTCTGAATGGTCTAATGATTAGTCCTTGGAATTTAGTATATTGGACTACTTGTATTCATAACATGGGGTTGGGACTAAGTATTGTCTTTTCTTATATTCCTAGGGAAGGCAACAATTCTGCTAATTGGTTGGCAAGACTTGGGCTTTACTCTGAACAGACTCTTATCAACAAGAGTGTTTCTCCTCCTTTAGAATTTCTTTTGAAGGGAGACCTTTTGGTCCTCCCTTATATTAGGTATTTGTTTGTTTAGTTGGGTGTTTTGGTGAGGGTTTCCCTCAGTTTTGTAACCCCTTTGTTTTTTTGTTTGTTATTGAATTTGGAGCTATATATATATATATATATCTTTTTCTCTTTTGTTTGAGTGGATATATATATATATATATATATATGTCTTTATATATGTATAGATACATACATATATGTATGTATATATATTTATATCTCAACATTGCTGGTAAATCAATGAGGCTACTCAAGTGGTCTCCTGATTTTGACCCTAAACGCGAATCTCCTACTGTACCGGTATGATTTAGTCTACATAATCTCAAGCTGCACTTTTTTCATCATCATGTCTTTACTCTATTGGGGACCCTTTGAAGCTAGATCTACCCACGTTTAACCTAACCAGACCTTCTGTGGCCAAAATACTTGTTGAAAGAGATATTACTTTACCTGATGTTACTGAAGTCTGGTTGGGCACAACTCACAATGGATATTGACAACAAATTGTTATGGAGCGTATACCTCCTTATTGTTCTCATTGTATGATGTTTGGGCACAACCTTGATAAATGTTATAAGCTTTATCCTAATTTGAAATCTAAAGATCAAGTGAATAAGAATGGATCTGACCCCACTGCTTTGGATATATCTGTTCCATCTGAAGAGAAAAATACCACAGAACAGGTTATGGTGTCTGAGTTAATTGCCCCTGTGGATCCTCCCCCTGAAAATACTATTTCTGCGATCGATGAAAAGCTGGATGGCCCTGCTGAGCAACCTACACTTTCAAACCCTCAGTTGCAGGAAGCATTAGGTGAAGAGGAGACATTTCATGCTTCACACACACTTGAACCTACAGTTGTTGCAACAGTTGGCAATCCTTCTTCTGGCTCTCATCAGTTTTTATCTGCCCGACACTCTGTTTACCAACACGATGATCAGATGAGCTAGTCTTCTGAGGAGGAATGACAGGTCTATTCAAGGAGGAAGAAGAAGATTGGAGGCAAACTTCAGCTTGTTAACCTAATGGATGATACTTTGGTTACTTTGGGAAATGACACGACACTCAACAATTTGTTATCTGGATCTCGCCCTAGAACTAGAAGCAGAGGCTGGCTCGTCCCTAGTTTCTTCTTTTCTGAGATTTTGGTTTATTTTTTTTTTTTTGGTTTTCCTGTATCTTTTATCTTTTGGGGTGTTTGTGTGTGTTGTATCGTATGGGTAGGATGCCTCTATTGGGCCATCTCATGCAATATTTATATATCTTTTCTATTTTAATAGATTTAGCCCTTGGGCTTTTCATAAAAAAAATATTTACAACTGTGTGTGTGAATGCTTATATATGCATTTTAAGAGGAGTGCACCCCCTATGATACTGGCTAGGGACTCCAATGTACTCGCGCATGTTGATACTTTTCTATCTTATTAGATAATTGTGAAACTTTGATTATTAATTGCCATGCCAACAGAATAATATCGGCCAGGGATGAGTAGATATCCTTCCACCCTTGATAATTATGTAATTTAGATCACTTACACTAAGAGATAGTAACGACCAGGCTGTGTTAGGTATGTTTTACAGTGCTCCTGAGACATGTGAAAGTTAAAAGCACAAAGTAACATTAAAGTTAAAGATTGAACCTTGAAAACTAAAGTAAAAGTTAATGCAATTAGATTTTTAGGGTATTTCTATTGAGTAAATATAATAAACACAGACATTAGATTACTATAAGATTTCTATAGTGAAATATGGCATACCAACATGCATATTGTTTTCTTTTTCTTGGGTTGTTATGATTTAGAAGTGTGATTGCCCAACTGGGTTATCTTAAATGTTTAATTATGTTGGTTTAATATTTTAGGTTTTAATTTTTGAATAAGATTAATTATAGAGGCGAAAATATGTTCAGAAGGCGAGATCAACAACAAAAAAAGTAAAATTTTATATCTTAATTAATTTTTTTTCTTTCGTGGTTATTTCAATTAATGTTTGTATATTAAACTCTTAGGGATTGAAATAGAATAATAAAAACTTAATTTCACCGTCCGACCGTCTGTTTCTGTTTTGATTAATTCCAAGCCCTGTGGTAGATATGACAAATAATTCTATTTGTTACAAGAGAGTTGATGTAATCCAAGTCATGAAAAAACTTATTCTAGCATTTTCCTGATTTTTTTTATATTTTAAAAGTTATATTATTTTTAGGATTTTAATTAGTTTTGTTATATTTAATTGTTAGAAGTATCGTTATTTTATATTACAGACATGACTTATATGACTTGTAGATATAAATTTAATTATTTTAAATTTTAATTTGTAATCTTATTTGGGTTAACAATTTTGACTGATATGTTTCTCTAATAAAGCTTGAAAAGATCCCAATGACAAAAAGAATGATGATTTTACCCAACAAAAATTCTATAGCTTGTGACATTGTCTCAGACATCTGTACATAGTTTATGATACATCAACAACTATATATTTTATGATGGTCAGTGAAAATAATTTTCGAGAAAGTTAAATAAGGTGGTGCTCATTCTCTTATACATAACTTGCATGACTTGTATGGACAAAGGTGTGCTGACACTAGATTTTTTAGGATCTTTCTCTTAAAAATTTCCAGCTAGATCTATGATTTCAGTCGTCTGAAAGGTTTTTTAATGCTTAATCATTTTTCCTTTCAATGTCATCACTCAGAATGTAATGCTCGAGGAACCTGCTGTTTCACTTGTGGATGTTGATTTCTGTGACACGCATATGGTGCTTGTTCTGAAAGAAAACAAAAGATACAGGCTTTGCTCAATTTCGCTGCCTTCGGATGCAAAGGTATAAGAAAGTAAGCATATTTACTTTTCCTGTTGAACTTCATAGTTTCAGGCGGATCTTCTTTTGTTGCACTTGACCTTGTGTTTGTGGGATTAACTTACATTTGAATATATATATATATATATATATATATATATGTATATATGATTATTACCTGCCTTGTGAATGAAAAAGAGTGATTGAAAGAATATTGATAATTGATTGAGATATATTGAATTGCTTTTTTGTTACTTTTAAAATGATCATCGTATATCTTCTGGATGCTATTACGTGGCCATGTTTTAGCTAATTTTTTTTTATGCTCCGAGAATTGAACCATAGATCTCAACTTCAGATCACTCAACCAACTAGCTGATGGTTGGTTGGAAGAAGTTTTTTATCCAAGTAGCTATTTGATTTAAGATGTTAGATGGTCTGTTTGAACAAATTTTAGGTCGGAACAAATTTTTATATTGGCGTTCATACAAAATATATTAGCATTTCCAAGCAAAGGTCACGGGTTAAACAAAAAACTGATGTTTTATGCTTTAACTATATAAGATGAGAAGCTCCTATCAAAATGATAATATGGGTAAACTCATGGCAGCAGGACAGACAACAACAACAACAACAACAACAACAAGCCTTTATCCAACTAAGTGGGGTCAGTTACATGAATTCTTTTTCTCTATTGAGTCGTATTGAGTGTCATATTTTCATTTAATTCTAATAAATTAAGATCATTTTTTATACAATAAGTTCAAGTTTTTTTTTATCTACCTCTGCCTTTCTTAACATAAGTCGAATCTAGAACATCTATTCTCTTAATCAGTAATTCAAATGGTCAACGTTTAATGTGACCAAACCATCTAAGACGACTCTTTCTAATCTTGTCCGCCACTGGAGCTAAACTAACCCTATCACGGATATATTCATTTTGCATTTTGTCTCTAAGTGTCAAGCCACTCATCCACCTAAGGATTCTCATCTTAGCAACACTTAACTTTTTTTATGCTTCTCTTTTAAAGGCCAACGTTCTGTGCCATAGAGCATTGCTGGTCCCACCGCCATCTTATAAAATGTTCCTTTCAATCTAAGCGGTACTTTTCTATGACGCAATAGGCCCTATGCATTCTTCCACTTTAACCAACACTTGAATTCTACTAAAAACAGCCTCATTTATATCCCCATCACTTTGAACAATATACCCAAGATATCTAAAACATTCAGTCCATTTAATGACCTGATCACCAATTATTACAACTTTGCCACTAGAGCTACTACTACTAAAATCACATTCAATAATTCAATATATTTAGTTTTAGTTCTACTCAAACAAAGGCCTTTGGACTCCAATGTATACCTCTATAATTCATGTTTTGCCCGAACCCTTTCTCTAGTCTTATCCACAAGAAGGATTTCATCAACGAAAATCATATATCATGGTAAATCCTCCTGTAAATGTCGAGTAAGAACATCCATAACTATAGCAAAAAGATATGGACTTAAAGCCGACTCTGATGGAGTCCAACTGAAATAGGAAAGTAGTTGGTCAATCCTCCTTCTGTTCAAACACAAGTAACAACTCTAGTATATATATCTTTAATGACTTAAATATAAGTCATATGTACATGTTTCTTCTCTAGAACTCTGCAAAGGACTTCTCTTGGAATTTTATCGTAAGCTTCTTCTAAATCTATAAAAATCACATGTAGATCCTCCTTATTTTCTCTGTACTTCTCCATCAAACCTCTCAATTCCATCGTAGATCTGCCCGTCATAAATCCATACTAATTTTTGAAATCTTTGTAACACGACTTAACCTATCAATTACTCTCACCCATAATTTTAAAGTATGACACATCAACTTAATTCCTTTATAATTTGCACACTCTTGTGCATCCCCTTTATTCTTAGAAAAGGGGACCAAAATACTCTTCTTCAACTCCTTAGGCATCCTTTTAGTTTTTAAAATAATATTAAAAGTTTAGTAAACCAAGAAACTCTCAAATCTCCTAAATATTTTCACATTTCAATTGGGATATTATTTTGTCTTACTGATTTTCCACCCTTGGTTTTCGTTAAAGCCACGTCATCTTTTTTTTTTGCTAATGCGATGGTAAAAATAAAATATTTTATTGTTATTAATGATATTAGGATCACTAAGATCGATTGTATTGTCAGAAACTTTATTGAAAAGTTTATCAAAATATCTCACCCACCTATGGATATCTTCATCTAAAAAAAACACTTTTTGATTTTCATCTTTAATATGCTTGAGTAAAATTTTTACTTTTCTTTTTTTCTTTGTTTGGCTAGTTTATTAATATATGTTACATTTTTTAATATATAATCTATCATAAAGATCATTAAAAGCGAGATTTTTAGCGTCACAAATTATTCTTTTAGGCTCTTTACGAGAAACCTTATAGTTTCCTAGTTCTCTAAGCTTTTACATTTAAACTAATTTTTATAATACGGCTTCTTATGATTTATCTTTTCTTGCACAATATTACTCCCTCCTCATGAAATTGTGTCATATTACAACATTAAATTTAAAACTCTTTTTCTTTAAACTCATGGCTGACCAAAATTTTAAAAAATCAATGATATAATGGAACTTGAAAAAAATTGAGTGGTTAAAATTCGCTCTGCAATTGAATTCGTAGTTCTCTCTAATTTTACCAAAACTCATGTAAAGCTAACATCAAAATATTTTGAATAAAAAGGTTTATGGAAAGAAGACATCAACTATGGGGTAAATTCAGGCCATGCGCTTGTACGTGGAGATAAATTTTCACAGAATTTGTTGACGCTTGTGTTGTTCAATGGAATCCTACAACTAATGATCACACATAGATTGACTAGATGTATGTAATTTTGATTAATTGAAGGTTAAATTACACTCTGTAAATCTTATCTTGATATTATAATCCCCATGTTTCCCTTGATTTATTGATTTGTGAAATCTTGTATTCTTTGTGGATCCAAATAACAACAGCTATTGACTTCAAATTCAAAATCAATGAGAAGAAAGTTACAGGGAAAGCAAGATAGGTTTTCGTGGGAATAGGTATGGACTAATGTTAGGATAGGTGTGCATGCTTTCATGGATATAAATTCCTTGTGGTGAAATAGAAAACGCCTGTTGTCTTGACCTGGTAGTCTAGGAAATTCATGATTATGTTGATGTTGGTAAGCATATGTGAAGGATATTCATGACCATAGCTACATAGAAACAAGCACAAGTAGCGAAATAGGATAAACATGGATATTTGAATTTAGAAATTCTAAATATATAGGCCCCAAATCATGGAATCATACATAGAAGAACACGCTTCCTATTCTCACTGGTTACATCATCACTTACATGTCCATAAATAATTAGAAAAGAAAATTATGAAAATATTATTACTTTAAAAAAGCTGCTAGTCATTTATTCAAATTATGTTTCCACAGTGTAAACATCTTCTGCATCAAATTTGCCAGCTTAGAAAAATCGACTACGATCATTTTAGCATTCGGAATTTCATCAAGCAAAATAGGAATTTAGGAAAACTAGGACATACATTCTGGTGTCATCACAAATAGGTCTATCATACTAGTGTATAAGTTATCTTTGGAATCCATCATTAATGGAGAGCACAATTTTATTATCCAAAATCACTTCAAGAACAAGTTGTGTAGATTTGCTTGACAAATTATATTGCACAATCTCATGAGGATGTGAATGAAGAATTTAAATTTTCAAGAAGTTAGTGAATAAGGTTAAATTAGACACATTAAAGATTGGATTGAATGCTAAAACTTCTTATAATTTGAAACAAATGTGTTAGTTCCAATGCACGGTAGAACTTTAAATTGTTATATATTTTTACTTTTAACTTGTTAATCGTTCTTTAAGGTAAACTGTTGGGGTTCAACTGTACCACAATCTTATTATTTGTCTTAAATTTTACCAACCTTTTATACACACCAACAAAAACTTAAAAATGTTATAATTAGTTGCATGATTCTTTATTAGAGAACATAAGTGATTACCCAATGAAATTAGATTGATGTAATGCATGTAGATCATTAAAAGGAATCCAGGGTTCCATGCCCATAAAACACTAAATGTGCAAATCCTTCCTTTCTTTAGATGCAGTACAATAAATATGAGAAGTAGAATCAAAAGTTAATGTATTTATCAAATAATTTATAGGATATTGTTATGCCGGTTCCTAAGAGCAATTTAGTCTTTTGCTATTTATTATTGTTTAGTATAAATAGGGATAATATGCATAGGGTTAGAGTTATGAATGAGATTGTTGTCTTTGAGTTTTAGGTTTAGGGTTTGTGAGAGATTTCCTCCATCTTGAATTATAGAATTTGGGAGAGATCGCCCACCTCTCGAACTGTAGGTGCTTATCTTTTATTTATTCGGAGCTGTAATTGTTGATTTACTTTTGGTGGAATACAATACATATTATTTCTCCTATTTTTTTGGAACATTATCTTGGTGGATCCGCTGATATCAGGGTCTTGCACAAACTAGGGTCACCGTGAAGCACCAACATGTTATCTTTCTATTGAAACTCCATGGTAAAAAATATTCAATTTATCTTACTCTCCCTTATGAATTGCAACCATTTTATACCTAATATCACGGTAGTGCTCTCTAAATCCAAGTGAAGAAAATCTTCCATCACTTGAATGTCTGGCAGTATTAAAATCACACATTTAGAAACTCCCTTGCTCTTCTCCGTCTTCCGTCCCCATCAAGATTCCAACACTTCCTGTGTCTATCATTTCAAGCCCCAATTGCTTCACTATTTGAGTAGAGATGGAGTTGTGGGAGCTCTACTATCTATCAACACAGCTACATCATGTTCACTAATCTACCCTTGAAGTTCCATAGTGGTTTGATTTTAATCCCACCACCGAGTTAAATAAGTCTTTTGTTACATCGAAGTGCGAGCATTCCTCTTCCACCGCAACATTCTATGTTTCCGCATCTTCTGCCTCCTTGCCACACACTG